TAAGCTACTATTTCATACGAACACAAATATATTCGTCTACAAATTATGTTGATTATATTAATTAAGTCCTAAGATAAATTTGTGAATCTTATTAGTGTTCTATGTAAGAACCAAAAATCAATCTCCTCGCCAATTAGAACTTTTGCTTTAAAAGAAAAATATGCATAGTGCATTTACTCAATACTTGGTCTGGTATCACTGTTTGAGCATGGATGTGCTCAGCTCACTGTTGCCAAGGTCGTGCATTTTGCACTAAATTTAGTGCTTTTGGGAAACCAAAAAGCCAAAATAATTGGAATTCAATGCTTGGTGCGGTATTTAGTGATGCTTTTTTAATTTAAGCACACCGAATGCATAGGTACATATGTATGTATGTATACACTATACACTAATATTCTACATTAAGATGGAATTCATTTACTGAATAAAATGTGAGGAATAGGTAAATTAAATATGTTTTGCGTTGTTGTAAATGTATTTAAATTAATTTATTAATAAAAACGTGAGGAAATGGATATGTATATACACTTTTTACTGAATCAAAAAAATTATTAAACATGATAATAAAAACTTGGCCCTTTTGTTTTGGAAAATTGGCTTTTTCTGGTGCCCAGATGCCACACTGGCTCAGTTGTCGCAAAAGTACACACACACATACACGCATTTTTACTTGAAAAGAAGTGTGTAGTGGTTAATATGTATACGTCGCCATCTCCGTACAGCGCACTTCACCTCGCATAGCATGCTCGCGGTTTGCCCGTGACGTCGACTGCGCAGTGATGAAATTGGTGGTACAATTGTACTTTTTTGGTACATTTTGAATCTCAAAAGTACATTGGTATTACATCGACATTTTTGATACAATTTTGTCAAAATACGGCACTGCGCCAAATTCTGTCGAAATACTAGTGGTATATAGTGGTGTATACTTGAAAATTTGAATGTTTGTGGATGAAAATATACTAATCTTTTTCCACTTCTTACAAGACGTGGTGTTTATTAAAAACGAAAGACTTGCTAAAATCAATAAACAGTTGCTGTGATAATATAAAACGGTGAAAAGACTAAATATTTTGCAAACTATTTTTCTGAAACTTCGATTGCAGTGAATGCAATTCTTTCTTGTAAAGTTTTTGTGTTACTTGCACTTAATAAACCTACTTGAATGCTTTTGTTGCTTGCCTTGATATTGAAACTTATGGCCTTATTCATAAAAAATAAAGTAGCTTTATAAAAGGTTTATAAATTGAAAAATGTATGAAAACGTCAATTTATAAAGCTCTTTAAACCTACTTTATTTTTTATGAATAAGGCTATTCGAGTACAACTTCACAAAATGAGGTTCATGTGCTCAGAATTCTATTCTTAGGGGTTTGATGGCCTTTTTAAACTAAAGTTATTCATGGTCATCGATGATATTCAGCCTTACTGCATGCTTACCTATGACGCAATGACCAGTTGGAACTTTCACCAGAAGTGGGAAGTGTAACTTACTCACGAGCTCCCTGGACCGCCCTTGGTCTACACGTGACCAGAAGGAATTAGCCGCCCTGCATTCCAAGGTATTTGCCCAGCGCACGCTGAGCTGGCTAAACGCCCATCTGTCCAGAAGTAGACCGCTTGAGGACAGGGGAGCACCCAGACCTTGAGCAATTTCTCAAGTGTTCCGTGCATTGTAGAGGTAATACACTAGAGAGCAATCAATCCGAAGCCTCCTGTATAGCGGCTACCTCTGCTTGTGTGATCGGAGGCCTGAACTTTAGGTTCATGGACTATTTTTTCTTTTTACATTTTTGAATGAAAACTAAAATTTCATCAGATGTTCGGAGAGCTTGAAGGTTTCTGCAAACTTTCTGTTCGCATACTATACTGGATATTTTTCTCTTGTGAGAGAACAGATTTCACCCGGTCACAGGAATTTTTTTGCTGGGCATGTTTTACTGGAGATTTTAAACGAACGTACCTATAGAGAAATTTACCTAATTTAAAAACATATATGTTGGTACTTTTTCGGCTGATTTGGTACATTTTTTTTGCCATTTGGTACAAAATTAAAAAACGCATTTATCATCCCTGCGACTGCGTGCACCTCTGCTGTACATCCCTAATTTACACAATAAGAGATGTTGAAAACGAAAAAATTAATTCATTTGACATGAAAAACGAGCTATACAGAACACCAAAATTGTTAATTGAAAGTGAATTTGGACCATTTGCAATCGGAAGTGCATTTCAGAACCTGCCTGAATAACTGTACTTGTTCAAACATTTTGTGCAAGAATTGTGTAATAACGAAAAATTTGGTAGCAATTGAAAAAACAACAAGATTTTACAGTGTGCAAGGGTTGTTTCAATTAATATAGATATTTAAAAATACTATAAAACTATTTAGACATTGAATTACGGACTCTTTTACTAAGGTGCATTATGCTCCTGTAAGACCAAAGACGGTGGCAGTGAACCTGTGTGGTTTAAAAAAGTCGAACTTACTGTTAAATGCAAAAGTTGTGAAGAAGTCGAAATCCCGAAAAATCCCGGGATCCCGGAATAAGATTTTTTTGCCTCCCGAAATCCCGGGATTGTTGAAATGCTTCGGGATTGACTAGGGCATATATATTGCATGCAAAGATAATGTGCCTGCTTGAGCTTGAGGTTTTCCGACTTTAAATGGCTAAGATTCTACCTTAGTGAAATACACATCTACCTAACATACCCACATTTTCCATAAATGTTTTTGCTAAATTAGATGAGCTGCTTCAGCTTTTTAGATAGTATTGTGAAGATCATGATTATTATTATTGTGATCTCCTATTACATGTCCAATCAAACATTCCCTAGTTAAAGCGTGAGCAGAAGGGCATGTATGATCACCTGATGCAAATGTTAAGATAATAAGAGTTGCAGAACTGAACCACTCAGGTAGAATTTTTTACAGGGCCGTTTTATAGCTGGTGTATGCCCATGACATCGACATCATCGGTAACAAAAACCTAGAAGTCTGTTCTGATTTATAGGCCTCTACGCGTTGGCGACGGCGGGTACCTCAGACGATGGAGCGATGAGCTTTACAACGAAATGGACATAGTGCAGCGAATCAAAATACAGCGGCTGCGCTGGATTGGCTATACCATTCTATTGGGCACCGGGGTTTCAGGTCTGAAAGTATTCAACTGCAATCCGGTGATTGCAGCAGAGGAAGAGGGAGGCCCTCACTGCAAGGGAGAGACCAAGTGGAGACGGACTTGGCTTCACGTAGCATTTTCAATTGGCGTCAGTTGGCACAGAGAGAAATGATTGGCGTGTTTTGTCGAACTCGGCCAAAATCACTTCTGCGGTTACAGCGCCAGATAAGAAGACCTTCTTCCTAGATGCGCCAGGAGGAACTAGAAAAAGATTCCTTATCAGATTGATTCTGGTAACGAGTCGATTAAAAAATTACATAGCCTTAGCTCTCGCCTCGTCTGGTATAGCTGCAACATTGTTATCAGGTGGAAACACTGCTCATTCAGCTCTTAAGCTGCCATTGAACATACAAAACATCGAAGCTTCCACGTGCAATATTTCGAGAACATCCGGTATGGAAAAATTATTTCAAAAATGTAAAATCATTGTTTGGTATGAGATGGCACATAAAAAATCTCTTGAAGTCCTTGATGGATCGGTGCGAAATTGGCGTAGAAACGTTCAACCAGTTGGGAATTGATTGCTCGCAGGAGATTTTATGCAAACATTTTCTGTAATTTCTCGATCGCCACCAGCAGACCAGGTAAATGCTTGCCTGAAATATTCAACATTGTGGCAACACGAACATAGATTGCAGTCGACTACGAATATGTGTGTCCAGTTACAGAACTATCTATCAACCGAGGTTTTCTTGCGACAATTACTGGCTATTGTCAGTCGATGAGAGATCAGAACGAATTTCATTGCCTCATAACTTTTGTAACTTAGAGACATCGAAAGGAGACCTGATCGAAAGAATACTTCTTAATATCCAAATTAATTATTGGAATCACGATTGGCTCAGTGAACGAGTTATTCTTGCCGCGAGGATTAAGGAAGTCTATCAACTCAATATGCTAATAATATAAGGGCGATTCCACTGTCACGGGTTGGACATTCGTACAGAAAAAAATTTCTCTCTTGTTTAAATTTAATTATAAAGTTCTCATCAATTCTACATTTTGATAAAGCTACACCCAGTGTTGGGCATAATTCAATTAATTTTTTAATCAGCCAGTTAATTGATTAAAAAAGTAATTGCAATTAAATCAATTGCAATTAAACTTTTAATTGCACATTACAATTAAATTAATTGCAATTAAACTTTTATTTGTGCACTGCAATTAAATTATTTGCAATTAAAATTTTAATTGCAATTAAATTTGTAATTGCACACTGCAATTAATTCTATGTTCTATGAAACAATTAAAAATAACAATTAATTAACTTATGAATAAAAATACGGGAATAAAGAAAATAAGAAAGGCGTAGTTATAAAAGAAAGAAATGGACATAAGAAAGCGTACTACCGATTGCTGGGGCGGGTGTTCGGTTGCTACCCAAAGGATGCTTGGTGTGCTTAAACCGGATAACGAAATTGAAACAATGGCCTTTGGTCGTTCACTGGTGATTAGATGTAAAGCTTTCCCCCAATTGAATGTACATCTACATCCGAAATCATCCTGATACTTCTTATTCTTATTTGGCACGTCAATCGTTTCTCTACTGTGCCAACTGACGCCAATTGGAAATGCCAAGTGAAGCAAAGTCCTACTCCACTTGGTTTTTTCAATGCAGTGTAGGCCTCCCTCTTCCTCTGCTACCATCAGCGTGTTCCAAGTTTAATACTTTCAGAGCTGGAGCGTCGGAGTACATTCCAACGACATGGTCAAGCCAGCGGAGCCGCTGTATTTTAATTCGCTGCACTATGTCCATGTCGTCGTTAAGCTCATACAGCTCATTATTCCATCGTCTGATCCATCCTGATACAATGTTGTATAATTTTGGCAAAGGTAATATCGCCGACGCACAGTGGGACGTCTCCACATAAGCTGCGGCCAAAAGTAGTTCCCGTACTACAAATTCATTGAAATTTCATACATGGTATATTCTGCACTTAGGAATGGTTCTGCGCCACCATACTACAGCACAGGGTTATTGGGAATATTATTCCGCAATAAAAGTTCTTTCCGGNAAGTTAAAGCGTGAGCAGAAGGGCATGTATGATCACCTGATGCAAATGTTAAGATAATAAGAGTGGGACGTCTCCACATAAGCTGCGGCCAAAAGTAGTTCCCGTACTACAAATTCATTGAAATTTCATACATGGTATATTCTGCACTTAGGAATGGTTCTGCGCCACCATACTACAGCACAGGGTTATTGGGAATATTATTCCGCAATAAAAGTTCTTTCCGGATAATAAACAAACCGCTTATCCAAATTAAACAAGTTTGGTACCAAATGAAAGAGGACGTAAATAGCTTTAAACCTGAAATGTCTCAACGAGGGAAGCCACATACTGAACAATATTCCAATAAGAAATATTAATTAATTACCATAGAACAAACCTTGTGTCAGGTATATGAATTTCTTTAGATTTCTTATAAGAAAATAAAAATAAAAAACAAAACTACGGTTGTCTTGATGGGATTAACAGAAATACCCTGCGACGTTCACCATTCATCAGTCTTATTCAGGGTTCTCTATGTCTTAACGCAGACCTCTCAGGCATTTTTAACCGCTAATTTTTAATAAAATTTACAGAACAATTAAAAACTAATTAATTGTTAACTGCAGAAAACCATAGTTAACAATTAATTAATTGTTAATTGCTACTACTACAATTAACAAATAATTAATTGTTAATTGATATTTTCCACTACAATCAACAATTAATTAATTGTTATTTGTTATTATCCACTACAATTAACAATTAATTAATTGTTATTCTTCACAACTACAATTAACCAACTGTTAATTGTAGGGGTAATTGTTAATTGTCCTTACAATTAAAATTTGCCCAACACTGGCTACACCTAATTGACTATTATATTATTACAAAATACGAAAAAAATTCCAACTTACTTTTATATGGAAAAAATCATTTTTTTTTCTGTCACGGGTGGCACAAAAAAGGGGCTTTTTGGAGCAGATATATTTTACGGAAACTCTGCGAATTTATTTCACTTTTCTGTGTGAACTGGATGTCTTATAATAAAACAAAGAACCAGGAACACAAACAAATCAAAAAAAAGCAAAAAAATTATGGCTTTATTATAAAAAAATCCGAAATTCCTCTGTCACGGGTGGAACAACGTTTATCACGGGTAGGACAAGTACGAATTTTTATATGAAAGGGAGGTTTTAGTTTGGTCCATCTATAAAGATTAGTTATTAAACAAGTAAGAAAGTCGAAGTTCGGGCAGAGCCGAACATTAAATACCCGGCGCAAGTATTAAATATATGTTTTTCACCTTTTTGAAAACTACCGCTACATGGTAAGCCGGGGTGTATAAATTTCGAGTAAATAAGCATCCCTAAATTTCGAAATATTGAAGTTTAAGGCATTTCTGAAATATAGCGTTATATGAAAAGCGACCGTAATTTTAGTCTGATTGCAATAATTTTTAACGTTTTGCTTTTATGTGGCAAGCACAATAACAATACCGAGTTTGGTACAAATTAGTAGAACGGTTACCGAGATACATATATGTGATCATATGTGAGCGATGCCACGCCCATTTTTCAAAATTTTATCATAAGCGTATTTCTTGGCAAGGAATTGTTGCATGCATTAATTTTGAATAAATTAGCTTATCGAAGATTTTGTATTTCTCTAAATTACCGTTATATGGGATGTGGGCGTGGTTATTGTCCGCTTTTAAAAATTTTCGGCCATGTGGTATGCTGTAACAATGCCAACAACTGTGCTAAGTTTGGAAGAAATTGGTGCAGCGGTTACCAAGATATACACATATAACCATAAGTGGGGGTGGCTACGCCCATTTTCCAAAAATTTATAATATTCTTATTTTCCGTCTAAAAATTATTGTAAATATCCATTTTGAGTGAATAATCTTCAGTAGTTACAAAAATATCGCAGTTTGCGTATTTCTCAAAATTACCGTTATATGGGAAGTGGGCGTGGTTACAGTCCGATTTCGCCCATTTTCATTACCAACCTACCTTGGAAACCTACATACCTACGTACCAAATTTCGTTGGTATATCTCAATTTTTTCTCGAGTTATCGCGTACACAGACGGACGGACGGACAGACATGGTTTAATCGATTTCTCTTTTCTGTCTGAGCATTTATGTATACATTTGTCTATATCTATCTCGATTCGTTTTGGCTTTACAAACAACCGTTATGTAAACAAAGTTAATATACCCTTGTGCATAAGTGCGCTCGGCTATAAAAATATAAGAAGCCAAGTAGGGGTTAAATTCACTCACGTTTTATCTTAGGATGGTGCCTTTTATATAGAAGAAAATGCTTAGCACCGTCAGCCAAAAAAAAATATTAAAAATGAACGCGATTTTCTAGCGTCTTGAAATTTTCACTTTTACCTATTTAAATTTAATGGACTGCATACCTAAAAATTCTGAACAAAAAGTTTAAAATTTTTTGGTGTAATTGTTAAAGCTTGTTGAATTTTTGTAAGAAGTTTGAAATGTGGATTTATGTAGTTCTGGTTATGTAATGTGCTAGACTTTTATAAAAAAAAGCTATAAACATTAGATTAACAAAATAAAAACCCAAAACTGGACAAAATGTAACTTAACTTAATCAGCTGACCACAAGGGTATATAGGTTAGGTTAGGTTAGGTTAACTCGGCTGCCCTAATCCCTCAGGAAAAGGGCACACTTAGGCCATCAAGGGCCCGTTGTGATGCCGTATAAGAGACTCCATATGTCCCTCCTCTTACCCTAGTAGTGGAACCACTTCGTAGCTCTGATGAAGCGCACAAAGTCATAGACACTGGCTGAATCCAGTTCGGCCAGACATTCAAAAGAATAATGGAGGAACGAGCATCGGCGAGCTCTCGCCAGAGCAGGACAGTGGCATAAGTAGTGCTCCACGCTTTCGATTTCCTCCTCATCGAGGCAGCTACGACAGTAGTCGTTTGACTGCAAACCCATTCTAGTGGCGTGGATTCCCATCAGGCAATGCCCGGGGAGAACTCCAATAACATGCCGCAACAGTGGTCGCTCCAAGTGGAGAAGAGGGCGAGATCTACGCTTGTCAAGCTTAGGCCAGATATGTCTTGCTATCACCCAGGGCTCCTGGACAAAAACTAGCTCCTCCCCTCTATCACTGAGGTGCAGGAGCAGAGCTGCAGAAGCTGCTTTAGAGTGATGAAGGTTTATTTGTAGAACCTTCATCCACAGCTTATAAAATTTCGTCCCCGTATTTCGTATATAGAAAATGGACGAGTCCGCCCATCCCGCATTCCTCCCCGGCGTCCACCTCAACAAACAAATAAAGCTTATCAGCCCTGTAAACCTACCTCTGATAACTGTCCTGCACATAGTTGTCACGGGTGGGACATGCTTCTCTGTTGAATTAGTCTTATCTAACTACGTGGAAACGACAATGCAATTATGGTAAGTATTTGCAATGAATTTCTAACAATATGTAACAAACACGAAACACAACCTCAACTTCTGTAATTAAATGTAACAACTTTTAGCTTTTTTTGTCACGGGTGGGACAAGACCAATACTGCTTAATAATAACTCATAATATAGATAAAGCAGTCATACATTTTAATATATAACACAATTTTATTAAAGCAGATGAGTTCTACTATATATTTTTCTTACCAAACACTTGAATTATGAATCGCAAATTATTTGACAGTGCATTCAATACAACCTACTTTAAACTCAATCAAAAAATTTACTTAGAGCTTGATTTCAAAACGTAAAAAAAAGTAATAAAAATGCATTTAAAGCTTTAATTTGTTATTCAATTTTTGGTTGATTCAAGATTTTTACAAATGTCTTATCCACACGGTGGTTAGTTTTATAAAGAAAATAATTTTTGCACTGACGTCCACTTTCCCATGGAACCTCCCATAAACGTCGATAAACATCGTTGCGGAAACAGATGAAGCACTTAATTATC